GAGAGAGAGAAAGAGAGAGAGAGGTTAGAGAGAGGCTTATAAGGCCCAGCAGTACCTTCCAACTTTTGTTTCCTCCTTTTTCTGTCTTGACTGCTGCAGCCCAGCGAAGGAGACCCTTCATTCTAGATATTGTTCTTCTCTTGTCTCCCTTATGTTGGTCGCTGTTCTTTGAATCACCATGATAGCGTGTTTCTGTTGATTCTGAAACAGTACCATCACATATTGGCAAGACTTTACTGCCCACATAAATAGGTTCTGCTTTGTGATTAGCATTGATGGTTATGATTTCTTCTTTTAAAGGATGCAGGCAATGAGGCATGGTGTAGCAACTTTTGAGATGCTTGAAGCTTAAGCTGCTATAGAAGCAAGTGGGACAATCTCTTCTTGAGAGGAAAATTGCAGGGTAATCCTTGCATTCCTCACCTCTCTTTTCACACCCCGACTTGTCTGGTGATGGCTCACCCTGGTCTGATAACACTAAATCCTCTACTTCTGTTTCTTTGTCTGAGAAAATTGAACTGCTGGTTAGACTTAGAAAATCATATACGAGTTTATTAAGTAACTCTAAGTAACTCTAATTAGGAATATTGAAACCATGTTACAACAAATTTTGAAACCTTTGTTACCTGTTAGCATCGTCCTGCTACTAGGGATGGTGTTCCTGACGCTCTCGTGGGACATCTTTAGAAGCCATTGGAGGATCTGTCCCGGAGGTATGATTGATCAGTTATTGACCTAAAGAAGCAAAAAATTGAACAGTACTTTTGCAACTTCCATGCAATTATCAGATTTTGATGCTCACCTGCATATTGATACCCGTGGGTGGTTCTGCCTTTCCTTTATATAGAATAGAAACTTGTTATATCATTTGCTCATGACATGTGATTGTCTGCCTGTACTGTCTCCTAGTGCTTGGATAGCTAGATTCCTATCTACGGTCCAACCTTTGACCGATCGATTGAGAGAGTGTGCACAATGTGGGTTGATCTTGTGGAGAAAGAGATAATGGGTGACAGGGTTGAACAGCCAGGCATTGAGTAGAAGTGGGCTGTTTTATGATTCTCTTAGTGGCTTTATATATAAGTTTTGCATGTGAGGGTGGCATGGTTAAGATACTCGGAAAAGTTCTAGCATTTTTACACCATGTGTGGACTGTGAGAGGCCCACATGGATGAGGAACCAGCTGACCTCATCTCCTCTTCAACTCCACATTATTTTAAGCCACCCCATTTTGGGTTATGCACTTTAGCTTTACGAGGTATTGGATACATTAGATCTCCAACCAACCACCGCTGCCAATGGCCTTTGCGTGATGTGTCACTTCCTCCTCCATTCTCATCATTTGGAGTTTTGTGCCCATGTGTTTTATGGCTATTGGATATTTTTTGTTTGGTCCATTGATCTGGGTATTGGAGTCCTCTGAAATCCTCTTTTGTTTACCGATTTGGATATTGGATGCTTTTGATTGATTGTCTCCTTCTAGGGGGGAAATGTTTGTCAATGCCGTATTGTGATATGCATATTCTTAGATATGTGAAGCATGGTCTCCTCTGACCCTTTTGTGGTTCAATGTGTTGCCACATCATGGTATAAAGTTATTTTAGTCCTGTTTTCTCTTATATTAGTGGCTGATTTTTTGTTAATATGGTGTGGACTTCATTGCGTCGTAGGCTTAACTTGTTCATTTGAGGATTCGAGCTCGATCATAGAAAAGCTTCTTTTAGACCTCTGTTATCCAAATATAGGTGTTGGCACTTTTTCATCATGGTACAAGCACACCCAAACGCACACATACGCATTAAACTCTATGAACAGACATTTTATTCAGATAGTTTTTCTTTTTTTCTTCTTGGGTATCTTCTTGCGTGTGTGGAAAATGTCCTATCCTTGGCTTGATTACATGTAATACAGAACCATCTCTCTCTCTCTCTCTCTCTCTCTCTCTCTCTCATATTATCAATTACATATTATCAATTACATTCCTACTGTGGCATTTTTGGCTATAAATTGTCGTGGTATCTTTTTGCTGGAATCATTTTCAATGCCAAAGCCTGTAGTCGACAAGAAAAGCCTGGTTTATGGGAAAACTTCTTATTTTAAGGTCAGCCATATGAAAAGGTGCGTCTGACTTTTTAATAGTTTTTTCCCTTTCTCCCCAGCACAAAGTGTGGGCATTTCCTGCGAGGCTTTTGGACTTTGTCCCCTACTTTGTTTACAGGTAACCACACCAATACCATCAATCTTTTATGGGTTATGGTACACCACTGGAATATCCAATGATGGACTTCGACAACGGTTCGGTTAATCTCCACCATCCATTCAAGGGAACGAATGGTTGATGTTCCCATGATGTATCATAGATCATACACCATTGGTGTTTCATATACTTTAATTTCTAGGTGTTTGTAATTCGTAATTAACAGTAGCTAGAATTTTGGGATATTGAGAATTATGGGTGTTAAGGAAAACAGTTAATATAAGCGTGAGGCTCTAAACAATCAAATTAGAGTACACATAAAAAATTTCACTAGAAGAGGTTGTTGCCCAATTATCCTCAAATTGATCATCTCGACATTACAATGAATGAACATGAGAAAAAAATAGATTTTAAGTTTTAGAAATAGTGAATCTTGTAACGCATTTTTTGACCGTCAATTTTCAAGTTTTTATAGATCTTTTTTATCTATATTATTTTTTAAGCTTGAAATTTTATAATTAGAGATGAAAATATATTTTAAGGGTATCACAAAGATTTCCAATATTGAAACTACATTTCTCGACACCATTTGAAAGTGCATTTTACTTTGATTGTTTAGAGCCTCGGCTCTATATAAACCTCACCCTATTTTAAATAAGATCCACTTACAAAGTCCATTTTATCCATTCAGGATGCCTGGTGAACTACTTGGGGACTCATCTCTTGATGGATTCGATTGCCTCAATGGACGGTCCAGATTTGTCAATCAATGTTTGATCGGAATCTTCTTTTCTAAAGATGCATTTATAGCAAAATGCATTTGCATCAAAATGAAATCTGTCTATGCTCTTGATCAGTCTTCCTTGAGGATGTTTGCATTGATGCACATCTAAAATGGCGAGCATATGCTTCAGGCTTGATTGCTTATATGATCACCGAAATGCCATGCGTCTTGCTAGATGCTAAATTTCAGAGGAATTACATACAGGAAAACATCTCTGGTACTAGGACATGGTCAACATTTTTACAAAATTTATGTGAAGCGCTATATGGTTTTTTTTTAACTTAATTGGCCCTACAGTTCGATGTTTGTAACATTGGACTATTTGAATATTTTTATTTTTATATTTTATTATCCATTAGGGCTGTTTGAAGTTTCACATACCGAACTACTCAAATTTTGTGTTGATCTGATGTTGGAAAAATCAGACCTTCAAATTTTTTTAAAGTTTTGAGTGGTCCAGTATTTGTGATATTGGACCGTAGTTAAGCACAATTTTCTCTCTTTTTTTTTAACTTCTTATGCAGTCCAATGTTGTTGATGTCAAACTTCTTCTTTTGATTAAAGCCTGTCTGATGTTTGAAACATCGAGCAAGCGAAAAAAAAGTGGTCTAAAAACATTGAACATGGTTCTAAACGAAAACAATAAAAATAAAGCATTGGTCCAACCAAAAATAAGGGAACAACACCAACATGGAGCTATCTGATGTTTGGGATATTGAATAACCTAACGTTAGGACAATCAGATGTTAACACCAACATGGGGCTATCTGATGTTTGGGATATTGAATAACCTAACGTTGGGACAATTAGATGTTGCAAACATTGAATTGACCTCCGAATGACCTCTAACTTCTCGGACAACCTTACAGTTGAAGAAAAAATAAAAATAAAACTTTTTCGATATTGTTAACATCGTACCGGAGGCAAAAACTGGAAAACATAAAAAAAAATAAAAAACATGACAATGAGATGTTCGCATCAATTTCATGAAAATTTGGACCATATATTTTCTTGTACGTTAATTTCCCTACATTTAGCCTAATGCATTGCTAACAAAGAGTATGGCAAAACCGCTTTGGTGCTGGCAACCTTGCATGCTATGGGCTGCCATTTGCAGGTTCGTGCCGGCTTGGGCTTGGCCTAGAAAAAGCCCCAAACATTTTCGGCACAGTCGGGGACCTGGCCAAAACAACTTTCTTAAGCCCGGCCTGGCCAATGTCTCGGGTTGGGCTTAGGCCCAGATCTGCCAAATCCAATGAGTGTCACATACCTCCCGACCCAACGCTGTAGCAATCGGTATTTCCTCAGTTTGCTAGTGAACCCTGGACATAATGGTATCAAGATAGCCCGACCGCTTTGTGAGGAGCATAAAAAGATGTTGTTTGCCGCATTGAATAGTCAACTACATTACTACAGTCGGTATTCTTCTTTTCGCCTGCCTATTGATGAAGGATCAGCCGTCAAATCCTAGAGGCCAGCCCATTTTGTAGGAATGGCTGCCGGCATTGGCGTAAGGTTGGTTGGCTCCTGTAATCTCCGTCCATAAGTTTGTCTCACCTTCGCCGTTGGGCCGAGAACACCTAGCTCGCCCCTTAGCTTCATCAGACAAAGCCGCACTAAGAGCACCAAGGCTGAGCTCTTCGTTGGTTGGCCCCCCTTCCAAGACAAAGCTTATGACAATGTAAGCTTAGTGCGACCCTTCGTTCGTATGCCTCTGAGCAACGTAAGCAATCGGATAGCAAGTAAGTTGTACGCTACACTAGGCTCTTGTTGAGCTATCAAAAGAGCTACCCATCTTTTGGTGTGGGCCCTTGTTGAAGATACAAATACCTGAAACCCCAATTTAACCGATCACCAAATATTACATACTTAATACTAAATATGTAAAATCGATAATCCAATAATAAGCTCAATGATCTTGTGCAACAATTTAAGAAAACAAATTAGAGATGGAAAACATAGTCATGAGAAAAAATTAGAGAGACAAATCACAACACCAATTTAACGTGGTTCACCCCGTAGGGCTATCAAAAGATAAATTTACATGGGATATAGTATTACCTTAAAATGAAAAAATTTGATGAAAAAAAATCAGTAAGAATACATTCCTTGTGATCACCCAAAAACACGATTTACCCCGCTTTACTTCGGATGACCCAAGAATATGAGCAACACAAGCTCATACAATTTCTCCCAAAAATAGGAAGAGAAAATCATTCTTTACTACATTCCCTTTCTCAACACAGCCCAATGAAGCCCTAGCCCCTTTTCTTGAGAGAGAAAGGAGTTCAAAAACCAGAAGAATTGTGCTTATAAAAAATCCCCTTTATTTTGGCTTTTATACAAGCCACCTAATTGTAGTGACAAAAAAGCTCTCAAACAAGTGGTAAAAGACAAAAACATCCAAAAGAGTGATTTTTCTATCACCATTCAACAATCTCTACCTTGATAGTAAATCACATACTTGCCTTACCAATAATCCCCTTTTTACTTCTTCATGAAGCCTAGAGAAGTTAGGTTCCATTCCAACTGTGCTGTACTGGAACCGTCTTTGTGAGCATATCCGCCACATTTTCCTTGGTTCCAACTTTCAACCAATGAACCAAACCATCTTCAACAACTTGTCGAACATAATGGTATCGAACTAGTATGTGTTTCGTCCTCTTGTGATAAATGAGATTCTTAGCCAAATTAATGACACTCATATTATCACAAAGTACTTCCATGAGCTTAGAATTGATACTCAATTCTCCCATAAGGCCTTAAAGTCAAACCACTTCTTCGCTTGCTTCGGTTGCCGCCATGTATTTCGCCTCGGTGGTGGACAATGCCACTGTTGATTGAAGCTTAGACATCCAACTTACGGGTCCATTTCCAAGATCTTCTTCTATCAAGATCACCGTCATAAAACATAGCCTTGAATGTGCCCCGAGCCTTTGTTGAATGTCATGGCATAATCACTCATACCTCTCAAATAACGAAGTACCCATTTTGCACCTTCCCAATGAGCTTTTCCAGAATTTGCCTTAAAGCTACTCAAGACACCAACCGAATATGCTATGCCGGCCT